AGATGTTTCTATTTCTTTGCTCCACTCAAGTTTGTCTTTATATGTTAGATGAGTAAGAAGAGTTGCAACTTGAAAAAAAAAATTGATGAATATTTAATAATAATTGGCAAATTTTAAAACACATTACACATCTTTGATTATTTTTGAGACCTTTCAATCCATGATAGTCTGCATATTTTTAGAATGTATCATTAATCCTTTGTTGAAAATAATGTATCCTAAAAAATCAATCAAAATAATGTAAAATGTATATTTTTCTATCTTTTCATATAATCTAGAATTTTTAAATTTTTTTAAAACATGACTAACATGAAATTCATATCTTTATATATTTTTAGAGTAGATTAGAATGTTATTTAAATAATAGACAACAAAATCATCAAAAAAATTCACAAAAGACATCATTCATGAGATGTTAAAAAATAGTTAATATGTTTGTGAGTCCAAAAGATATGATATTATATTCAAAATATCCATACCTAGTTTGAAAAATAGTCTTCTACTTATCTCTTTTTTTAATGCAGATTAGGTTGTATGTTCTTTATAGATCTATTTTTGTATAGGTCTTTGCTTGATTGAGTTGGTCAAAAAGTCCTAAAATCAAAAGTAAGATATACATATTTTTGATGGTGATCTTATTAAGTCTTCAATAGTCTATGCACTTTTGTAAAGATCCTTCTTTTTTCTTCACAAATATGATAAGAGCTCCTGTTGGAAATTTCAAGTAGTATATGAAGTTCTTAGCCAAGTTTTTATTAATGTATTATTTTAGTGCAACCAACTCATTTTGCAATAAGTTATAGATTGGTTCAAATGGTGGTTGACCTCCTTCTTGTAGATCAATTATACAATCATATGGTCAATACTCTAAAAAGATATTTATATTCTTCTTTTCAAAAATGTCTTGAAAATCTTGATATTGGCTAGAAATATAACTTGACGTCTTTCCACTATTAAAAATGGATGTGGCATATATAGCAAAAGATGGCCCTTTTTTTGCTACATGCATGAAAGCTCTTATATCTACTAGTAAGAGTTTGGATGTATTAGGCTTATCCATTTTTACTTCACTATGAAAATTTTAGATTAAACTATAAGAAAAATTAAGATTATGAGAAATCCAATCTATTTGAGGGTTATATTTTTCTAACCACAATAATCCTAAGATAGTTAGATTGAAGAAAGATCTTATTATATTAAATATTATTATACTATTTTTATCTTTAATTGCTACATCTAAAAAAAATCTTATGAATAATGTCCCTAAAAGACAACAAATGTCCATCTATGATTTCTACATGTACGGATTAAATTTTCTTGATTAAAGATATTTCTTATTTTTTGACAAAGTCTTTGTCTATAAAACAAGTTAAGGCTTCTAAATCTAATAATGAAAAGACTTTGTGATTTTTAGGTCCTAAACACACATCTATTATAAAATAAGGTGAAAGATTTGAGGAAAGAATAGAATCTTTACTAAGTTTTGCACATGATTTTAACCGCATGATTCCTATTGTAGTTGAAAAAACTTGTTTTTAGACATATTATCTTCTTTGATAATTGTAATCCTCATTTTGTGATTGTATTATTTTTTTGAAAAATATTGAGCAATATACTTAGCTTCTCCACAATATAAGCACAAATCCTTTTGACAATGTCAAATCTTTGCTTGCTCCGTAAGGGATTTAAAATATACTATATCAATATGTATTAGTTCCAGCCTTGATGAATAAATTTCTAAAAACTTAGGAATTACTATCATGACTTGAATTATTTTTTTTTAACCAAGTCTTTGTTCTTAATGCCTTTCAAATAATCAATTATTGTATACAATGGCTTGAATAATAAATCATTTCAAGGATTTTGCCTTTGACATTGTCAATAAAAAATCTTTGATATTATCCTTCAATTCATATCAAAATTAATTGATAAGGGCTTTGTCATTCCAATCCATGTCGTAAGCAATATTTTGGAATTCAACAACAGATGTAATGGCTAACCATGATCCTTGCTATAAAGATAAGAGCTTACTCTCTACTACTCTTTTTTTATTACTTTTTCTAAATGTAGCCATAAATATTTCTAAAAATGAATTCAAATCATAAATAAATGACAAATATTTTTTCATTAATAGTGCAAACTAAGAGAGAACACTTCTAAATAAAAGTGCACCTATGAATCTAACTTGAATAAATCTATGAGGATATTGGAAAGAATACAATCTTAAATAGAAATTGATTTTTTGTAAAAATCCTTGAAATTTTAATCTTGTTCCATCAAACTTATCTGGCATACTAATTTATATCTCCATCATACTTGTAGAAAAAAAACTTTATAGATTTGGTTGTGAGGTTGATTTACTTACTTCCTTCAACTACATAACTTCGTATTGTAAGTTCCGAACTTCTTTCATGTATGTAGAATTATTGTTTTTGTGGTTGGCATTGGTGATAGATGAAATTTTCACTCTAAACATGTTGACAAGTTTGTAAAGATCTATAATAGTTGCAAATCTATTCTCACTTCTACCAAGTATAGCATCTATGATTTTTCCTTTCATTTCAAACAACTTAACAAATCTACAAGTCAAATTAGAGGAAGATAATCCACAATCTCTAATATTGAATAAAATTTTTTATAAAAAGAGATAATCTACTTTTTTTAAGGAAAAAAATTGATATTAGAAAATCAAATAGTTTATTTAAATATGAATAATTTGCAACCTTTGAAATACAACAATAGAAGTGGGATAATCTACTTCTTTTAAAATAAGATAAGAACAAAAAAATTAGTATTCTTATCAAATTATAAAGGACACAAAGCTTGAAGAAAGAAATTCTGAACAAACTCTTGTATCACTCAAAAGAACTAAAAAGTCACTTCAAAGCTGGTATAATATTAAACTAGAATAACTATTGCCAAAAATAAGAAAGCTAGAAAGTCTTAAAACAAGATTAGAGACTAAAAAGGCATTGATAAGACTGAAAAAGGCTTCATTCTTGCTTCCATATATACTCTTCACTAAAAGCTATGTAGTGATATCCTATAGGACCTTCAAAACGTGTTGACTTTGCAAAACACGTATCTTAATTTAGAAGGCAAGTTTTCTATATGTACACCATATAGTTAGCTTGTTCTGCAAGCTATCAATACATGGTTAATATATTGACTAAGTTTCCATCCTATCAATCAACCACAAATACATATAAAGTCAAAGTAATGTCTATGAAGCTTCTAGAAAGCTTTTCTAAAAAATATTATGAAATAAATCTACTTTGACATACTTCTACTTAATCATATAGGTAAATATTATAATAAATATGTATGTCTATGACATAAGGTTTTGGATAATCAAATATCATGGATTTTTGGTTATTTCAAATATCACCTTCCAAAATATCATTGTTCAAACTTTATTACTTCTTTCAAGTTTTTGAAGAATCACTTGATATTTTGATGATTTAAAAAAGTCAAAGAACAATGTGGTGTAGAGTCAAAGATGGAAGACAATTAAAGCAAGCAAGGTAATTTTTTAATATTTCAACGGCCTTTTTTTGATATTTTGAAATATCACCCAATACTTTAGAATATCATCATAGGTGAAATATCACTCAAAAACCTTCAGTCTAAATCCTCTTAATAAAACTACTGATCATGATAGTTTTGTGTGAAATAATTGACAAAACATGATATTGGATAGTTGGCAATAAAAACTTATTAATTGATTACATAGAAATTGAAGGATGAATGAATTGTATGTAGAATAAGTTGTAAATAATTCCATATACTAAATTGTAAATAATTCACTTATAAGTATTTCCATGATGACTTCAACTTCTTTTGGAATTTATAAATTATTTATTTTAATAACATGTTTCAAAATCTAAATGCATAAACAACCATAACATATTTATTTAATTTTGTTGAATCAAATTCATACTTTTGAAGGCAATAAACTATTTGGTACAGTAGAAGAACTTCATATATATATATATATATAGAGAGAGAGAGAGAGAGAGAGAATTAAAATGAAAATGTAATACAAACAATCAACCTATTTGCATGACCTTAGAGACAACTGCAATAACAACAATCTCAATAACATTTTCACAAGGAAGCAAACCACCATCAGACTATTCTTCTTTGAGAGTAGTTGTCCACCACATGTAAAAAAAAGCATGCAAAAATCTAAAATTCACTGTCGCACTCTTGCCATTCATTTGCTATTGTGGACATTAGTGGGATTTCGTCACATTAATGTCACATAACACTCACTACCACGACACCACAGCTTAGATTCATAGTTACACATCTACAGGAAGAGCAATTGTTGCTTGACCCCCTACTTCGTATGTGTTAACTAAAATTATATTTAAATGAATACGAGTAATTATATTTAAATGAATGAATACGAGTAAGTAAATAAATGTTAATATATAAATATATATCTATATATATACTTGAAATTGATAATGAAAGAAAATGAGGGAAATTAACAGCTTTGTTGTAGTTTACAAACGCGTGGCGCAGAGTACAACTAGGCTCATATTCTGGGGACCCAATTCCATTGATGATGCTTAGATAACCGCAGCCACAAGAGATCGTGGTGGCCCAAATTCAGACTGTATGCATTACAATAAAGAAAATATAAACCCATACAGACACTGTTCTCCGAAAAAATATGCTTGCAGATGTTCAAATGGCGTGCGCTGCTTCGTCGTTGTACAATATTCTCCGCGCTAATATCCAGTATTTTAATTGTTTATGGTCTGCAGCTACATGAAATGAAGAGCCGTAATGGGACCCTCCCTCCCTCCCTCGCTGTTTTTCCCAATGATTAATTCCCCTCTTTCGGGAGCAGGGCGAGGACTATCATGGTCATAGTGGGATGAGTCCTCAAAGCAGAGCAGGCGTTACGAATTGTAGGGTTCATCAGAAGATGGAACTGTTAACCAATACCCCCACACATTGCCGTGCGAGGCTATCATTCGATCTGTGCCTCGATGGATTCTCAATAATATGTTTCACTTACCAAAATTTACAATTGAAAAAGATAATGTTGAAAGAGAAAATCTAGTGTAACGACCGGACTAGTGGAAGTAGTACTCGTAGTAGTAATAGTAGTAGTTCGCATCTAGAAGCACGATCTAGATCTGACCAACGCGGGTTTTGTGTCGTACGAAAGAAGACTAACAGATTTAAGTCTTATTCCCACACAGAGTTTTAGTCCAGCTCTTCAAATATACGATGCTGGCACAGTGTAACTCACGTCGAGGCCGAATGAACCGCGCCGCAACACTGAAGATCTTACACGCCAACATTGCAAGTCCAACCCATGGCTGAGATGAACCGCAGCAAACTTCATCGATTACAACTCGAGACCTCACTTCGATCATATTCCATGTATGGTTCGAGGACACCGTAAACGCTAGAACAGTTCGGCAAAGGAATCGTGTTGCCCAATGTTAACAGATGTGTGTCACATACGATCACGTCACGGTGAAGCTCCTCTGCATTAACCTCTGTCACTGGGACACAAGTTAGAGTGGGTACTTGCGTGCATTCTTCTGGAGCTTCTGGAGCGCGGAGTCGCCGAGATCTACATTACACACGTCTGCCAAGCGAACAAGATAGAGTAAAACGTCGGCAAGTTCTTCGCCCAAGTGCTCCTTGTCGGCGTCGTTCCAATCCGACAGGCCTCGAGGCACCTCACCTTTCCACTGGAAGATTTCAGAGAGCTCCCCCACCTCGCCAACCTGCGTTCCATGAACCAGGTGAAATCCTCAGCGTCTTCATCGAGGCATTGCTATGACGAAAAGTTTGCATAGTTCTCGCGAGAATCTGTCTATATAGCCATGGACTTCTGAGACCGTGGCAATAATTCGTGTACCACCCCAACACGGAACATGCTTGTGTGCCTTAGCAATACAGAGCAAGACAATTATGGCGATCTGAGTCTGCTCCAGAACGTGTACAAGTATTTGTTTTGGTTATGAAATTGGAAGATCCCAAAGAAGTGTTGAGACATTGAAAGGGGTGAAGTGATTACAAGGGCGAGAAGAAGATTGCGGGGACTGTGGAACTGGTCCCATTCACGTTCAGCAGCGAAATTAGCCATGCTACGGGCAAGATCCTTCAAGGTCACCTCTTTCTCCGACACTACAGAACTACTCCTCTTCAGCACTTTCTCCACTGTCGCCTCCTCCACTACGCCTGGTTGCTCCTCCTGGCCGCCCATCATCAGCTATTGTCGTGATACTCCTCTTCAAACTTCAGGCATCTTTAAATGTTCCCACTACGGCTTATACCTTCCCACAAGACTGCGCGAGTCGCGAGAAACACAACCTCTCGGGAAACGAACAAATGCAAATTCCTGAGCAGCTTTGGATGCAGCAGCGGCCAGCATCAAAAAGACGACTACAACCGCACTCCTACTTTCAACTGCCTAGACATCACAAGATAAGCCGCCTCAACTAGAGTCAGCGAATTCTTCTCTCGCCGACAACACATCAATCTCGCTCACTAAACACTTTCTGAACCCACAATGGCCTCCACCCTTTCACACAACTTTCAGTCGAGGCACCCTTACAGAAATGCACAATCAACAATCCCCCAAGTACGCGACGATTCGAGCAGGAGGACCCAACGATCATTCCATTCACTCCGAAAATCCAGTCCTCCCATCTCCAAACTTAGCAGAACGTCACAACTATACTTAAGCCACCGATCAGCTGGCACTGACCCTAAATAGCCCCACTAAGCCCAGTGCAAATTGAGTGCCGACAACAACACGACCAGTAGCAACTCATCTTCGCAAACCAAAGCGACTGGCGGAAACAAAGTCCTCACCTGCAAGAGGTCTACGAGCGCCACGGATCCGTAGCCCTGCAATAGCGATTGCTCTGCTCTAGGACCTGCGAAGTTAAAAACTCCCCAACCTTTACAACAGTAGATTGCGTGTCGGCTGGATTGGAGCGACAGCAAGTACAGATGGCCAAATCCGGCCGGAACCGTGAGCAGCAACGAACGAGGTGGGTGGGGGGGGGGGGGGGGGAAGCCCCACCAAAAAATGATCCTGCCAATCTAGCGCAAAAAAAACCCAGCGTTATATGCGGAATTCTGCTATTGTGTGTGTGGCCGGGGCTTCTGCAACTTTTGGACTCCGATCCTGGTCCAGGCCCGGGTTTGCAGGATCGATGACGATTTGGCTTCCGCTGCTGTGCATCGTTCTGCCGTTTCAGTCCCCCCCCCCCCCCCAAACCGCCACGCTCCCCCTTCCTCCTCCGCTGCCCGCTGCCCGTTACTGCTTAGGGTAAATCAGCATCCATCCATACATCTTCATCCACTCGTCGTTGTCACTGTTCTTCATCCATTCGCCCGGGTCTCTGTGCTCCTTCATTCGTCGCGGTTCCCTCCCATCATTCATCGGCTTGTGTCTCTGCGCTTCATCCATCGATGGTTTGGGTTAATGATAGGGCTCATTTGATGCATGTATCTTGTTGTGAACCTCAATTATGCATTGATCTCCTAAATCTTTATCTTTTTCAAATTTTGTATACACGAGTATTTATTACTTTGGTAGATAGAAATTTTATAAATTATGTAAGGATTTATAATTTGAGTAAGGTCATGCAATTTTGTAATTTCTAGGTTATAAATGGCTATGGGAGAAAAGACACTCTTTACAAGAGCCCATGTTGGCTTTGGTGAGATTTCTAATTTGAAATTTAGAGGAATGAGTAAAGGTTTTTGTTGAAATTTTATTGCATTTTAAATTTGCAAGCATTGGCCTTGGTTGTAATGCGAGATTGCTTGTTCATTAGTGTGCTTGCATAGGTTCAAGACATAGGCATAAAGTTAGAGGCTTTTTTTAGTTATGATTTGGAATAAAACTCATCAAGTCTAAAGTCATTTTTTAAATTTGTAGTATCCATGATAGATATTAAAAGTCCACTAATTCAATTTATTACTATTTTTATACAATGACAAAGGATATTGTTCTTTCTTTTGCTGTTTAATTCACAAAGCATGTTTTGAGTTCAATTCTTCAAATGTGACAATATAAGGTGAAAATGTGAGTAGCTTTAAGGAGATTAATAAGAACACCTACATTTTAGAAGTAATGGATTTAGACAATGAGCTTGTGATGATTTCAGTTTGTAAGAATTAGGTTGTGGACGTTCTTAGAAATTACAATGTGGCTTTGCCAAAACCACAAGATCAATATTGGAATCTAATCTTCCTTCGATTGCTTTTGGATTTTTGCAAGTTTGACAATAATAACTGTAATGTGGTGTATTGAACAAAAATTTAAAAAGATTATAATTTCTTACTAGGCTAAGATCATAGCTTTGTAACATATACGACACCTTGGGTCTTCTTTGATAATGGTCAACAATATTGACAACTGTGGTGTCCATGGAAATCTCTATGTCATTTGCAACTCTAGCAATTAAAAGCTCTATCTTGACTCAAAAAAATTGATGATTTGCATGGAAATCTAAATCCTAAATGACCAAAAATCTAATTTATATTCTTGTTGCACTCACATTTATCTATTTGATGCAAAAAGAATGAATACTTAAATTATAAAAAAAATCACTTAATTTCTCATTTAATTTTTTAATTTTTATATGTCATTAATCATGCAAAGAGCAAGGTTAGAAGTTTACAATCTAGAAACAACATCTGTTCTAACAAATATTATCAGCTAAATAAAATATATTAGTTAAAGTATATATATTATGTAAGATACCTACATATATATATATATATGTATTTCTCCTTTTTGAAAGAATGGAAAAAAATAGTAAAAGTGCATTGGATTTTTGAGAAGGTGTTTCAAAAATGTCATAATTAGGGTTTTAATAAAACTGTGTGGAGTAACAATCTTGTGTAAAAAATATCATCTTTTTTGGTAATATATCTTGGTGGGTTATCCTAATAGGAGCTTGTTTATGTACTTATTGGGGTTTTTTATTTTATTTTTATTTAAATAGTTTTTAGTATATATTTATATATATGTTCGTAAATTCCTGAAATGATTTCAATAGCCTGTGTCCTTTGTTAACAAATTTCTTATACAAGTAGAGTCATGAGTTAATTTATGTGTTATGATAATATAATGATATTATACTTTTGCATTAATGTCTCATAAATGATAGTAGCAATCAAACAGAAGCATATGTAAAGGAATTTGAAACCGAAAAATTTTTCATTGTGTACTTAGCAAAATAATACAAAAGTTTCACTACCAAAGGAGGTGGATTTCATGAAGCAGAGAGATGAAATATTGATTCAAAAAAGTATTTTAACACTTTTTAAAATTTTAAATATATTAGACATGAAGGTATCAGTTGTGGGTAAAAATCCATTTCATTCTTTAGATGTGTGTACTATTTTTTTCTTCTTTTATATATATTTAGTAATTGTAAGTATTTTGGTAAAAAGGTTTAAATACAATTGAGAAATGAATTTGAATACAATTGATAAATTATATAGATACACTGTTTTAGATTACACAAGTATTTTGATAATGGTTTTCTAGCTTTTGAATGAAAATTTTAACCACCTGAATGTTTGGTAAAAAGATTTATTAATACATAAATTAAAATATGAATCCACAAATTACTTTGTTCATAGACATTGTCATACATTTTCGTTGTGATACTAGTTGATAGTTCAATAGAGTTTCAATACAGATAAGCAAACAAATAAATAACTGCAAACCCAATTCAACAAAGCAAATGGGTTTACAAAATAGTGCCAAGGCTGAAAATTCCCTCATTTTGGATAGTAGCAGAGTGTGCCCAAAACACAGAACAATAAAATTGGACAAAATCTTTGATGCATTGCCCCATGAGCCAAGCTTGAAGCTGGTGGTAGATCCAGAATGTGCCCAGCTGGGTTCCAACTCGGAACTGTACTGGCTCAGTGAGAGATGATTCTTCCCTATCCTCATGCAGGACGGTTCTGGCCCTCCATGACTCTTGATCTCACAAATCGGAACATTAACATTATAAGATAAAAATGATAATGTTAATATCTTATTACCAGCAATTATCAATGCTATGCTAGTTTTAATATGTTTTTTTCATAATAATAGACATTAATGAAGTTACGTAGAAAGTCAAATCGTAAAATAATATTTCAAACTAATTATACTTTCTTAGAATTATAATTGTGAAAATGTATAATTAAATAATTGATTTCTCATAAAAATATTTTCAAAGTTATTTAGGTGTAGTAGTTTTATTTTGATGTATATTTTTGTTGACCTTTCATTTTATTTTGTTTTATTTAACAAAACTACTTGATATGAGGGGAGAATTTAAAAGCCATATATATTTAATGTGTAGTTTATTTTAGAATTTAAAAGAATCAATTTACAGTGGTATGATCTTACATTGAGCTGTAACCCATACAGGTGATATAAATTATTGGATTAAAAATGCTTTTTTTATAAGACCATGGTTGTTGAGCTAAAAAGATGCAATTCAAATAGAAGTCAAACGGTAGCAAATCATTCTCAATAAATTCCTTCAGCACAAATCAAATACAGTTTTTGGCATCACATATTACAAGTTTAGAAGACAATAGTGATTATGCATTATTGTAAAATCAAAGTTGATTTGCGTGCATTTGATAACTTGTGATGCACTGTTTACCGTAGAGCATGCTTCTTATCTTCCTTCAAAAAGATATTTATAACTTTACATCATTCTAGCTTAATTATTCAGTTGACTCCTGTGAATTCAAAAGTTAATTAAAAACTCTTGATGAAATTTTACAATTTTTCCACAGCAATGCAATGAAATGTTGGTTTAATACTAAATATGTACAATATATATATATATATATATATATATATAACTTGAATAATTATTGTCCACCCTCAAAAAGTAAGTTGGAATTAAGGCTTGCAAATGGCACCCAACCCAACACTCACACTCAAACCCGATTGTCTTCGTGGTACCCGGTTGAGATCCGGAAAAGTCCAGGCATCGTCGCTGAGCTTGCGTGGGTATCAATGAACGACGAAGTTCCCAATGTTGTGGGCTCGCGAGTTCCCGGCACAAATTCCCGTGCTGCTGGGAACAACCACAGACTTGAAGCGGCACTCCCCTTCCCTTTCCTCGTAGCCCTAAATTTCGTCCTGATCGAAATTCCACGAGATGGTGAGTCGTAGATGAAATTGCGCCTCAGAAATTGGGTCTTGAGTGTGGGCATTGGTGTGGTCGAATCATGGGAGAGAAGACGTATGTTGATAAGCACTTGGAGAGTGAGATGGGTTCCTTCAAGGAGCCCAAAGTGCGCCTTGAAGAAGTGGAGAAGGAGGGAACCAGCTGCCGTGAGGACGGCGATTTGGAGAAAGCTCTCTCCCTGGGAATGCAGGCAAGTGCTGGTTCCATCTCATTCTCACTTTCTTAGAGTTTAATAATTCTTCCCAAGGCAATAGAAGGTTGTTTGACAGCACGAACAACATGCAGCAAGAAATAGTCCCTGCATCATCGCTTAGTCATACTCATGCTCAATACGAAGCTTCTCAGATTCAATCCAGAGTATTAGCTTGCTCAGTCTTTAAAAAATGGCCCTCAATTTTGGTTCACAAGCATTAGTTAGTCCGTAATTATCACAATTCACCGACCTCCCATAGACCTCCGTATTTGCCATCTGCCCAGTTCATTAAAGTCTGCGAGCGTTTCAAAGACATTCCACGGAGGCCACGGTTGTCGAATCGCAGCTTTGCGTGGGTTATGGGTGGGTGTGTGAGTGTCCCAAATTCATCAGGTTCTGCTATCCGATGCTGCAGTTAAGTAGCCCTACAAACACACTTCCATAACCTGTACACTAACCAGCAGAAAATCAACTGAAAGTTTGTGCTGATTCTGGACAGCGATTGGCACTTTCAAAACTGTGTTACGAGGATGCAAGCACACCGAATCGAGAGCTCATGATGGGGCAAGCTCACAGCAACCTCAGCACCATCTATAATGAAATGGTGACTTCCTCCACCGAATTGATTAGTGCATGGTTTTAATTTCTAATTTCGTTGCTTGCTCGTATCAGAGCTCAAACTCTTCACTGAATACGTCATGTTGCGTTCACAGGGTCTAGGGGAGCAATCCTTGAATCATGCCCTGGAGGTATATTAACAAAATGTTTCCGGTTAAAAAGTATGGAGATGACGCTCTTCTTTTCATCATAATTATTCTCTACATTATGTTTAAAAATTGTGGTGGCACGGTCGCGTAAATTATGCGTCACATGTAGCCCTAACTGCTCTGTTCAGTATGTCAATTTTTTTAACTGCCCAAATAGAGCAGCATAAGTGGTGCAAGCAATGACTCCGCCTGAAACCAATGGCAAAAAGTCACAAATGTGTATCATTGTGATGAGAACCACCGTGCCATAAGTCTTATTACTGTGATCCTAAACACGCAGGTGAAAAGCGTCTCATGCTTGTATAAGACAATCCTCTAACCTAGGCATAAAGATGATCGAAAGTCCCCTTTGGTAACTCCTTGTGACTTCGTTTACCACATAATTTTTTTGAGGTTGAATAACTCCTTGATAAGTTGTCGCTGCAATGCTGATGAAGGCATTAAAAAGAATAGACCCTCGCAAGACAGGCGAAAGCGAAAACAATGACTTTACTGTCGAGTGCCTCATGGCTGTCGCAAAAGCCATGATTCAGCGTAAACATCCAACCTCTTGGTCATAATTTCATGCATCCTCATGGATCATCCAACTGTTAAAAGCTAAAAGCAGACCTTGTAGTTGAACTTCAAGCTTTAGGCTGCTACTGAAATGTTAGAGAATTGCCTTCTCTTTGAACAGGCAGTGATCCAGAGTGCGTGAATTATCTGAAAAGAGCATTGGTGGTCAACCATGAGCTTCACGGCCCTGATGTATACCTTCTAATAACCACTTCCATGGACTGTGAATGCTTTGAAGATAGGGTTCGAGTACTTGAGGTCTACCTGTACTACAAATGACAGCAGGTTTATGACTTGTTTACAGCTTAATTGATGATTTACAACCTAGAATTGTGAGCCTGGTCCCCCAATCCTAAGCTCCAGGTTTTCTTCTACTAGAACTGGTACAACTAATTCAAGGACTTGTTTCATGTAAGACAGACCTCTTCAGAACATATTGACATTGAATCTAGTATGACGTTGATTTTTCCATCTTACGAAAGAATGCCAATGTAGATGATCTAAACACTGGATTCTATGACCATAAATACATGCGGCAGCATGATTCGAATTGGAAAATTCATGCGGGATTCGGTGACTTGTATGTGCTTCTTGGTGACAACCGGGCATCGTGCAAGCAAGCCACAGGCAAGGTGAAGGACTCAGCGGTCGATGTGAACAGCAAGAAAAAAGAACCAGACAACTACGAAAAGGCCATGGATGAGTATGCAACTGTAAGCGATGAGTCTACCCGTAATCCAGCATGAAAAATTGCTTCAATGTCTCTCATCCAAATGAGCAAATAGAATTTGTCGTCTTTGGAATGTAGGCATACGAGAAGATAGCAGGTGGTAGCAAAGACAAGGCGTTTCACAGCGGCGGTAGCAGAGATGCCCGGATGGGCGATATGTTTGGCAACGCTGCAAGGGTTGGTACATTCTCTGCTCGTGCAACAAGCTTTTTCGTTTTGATTGATGCATTCGTGTTTCCAAATAGAGTTTGACCCAACAATTCATGGAGCAGACTCGAAGCAGGCAGGGTAACGACGTGGAGGCTGCAGTCATTTATGACAAGGCTGTGGCTTGCCTTGAAAATGCCTCCAATCCCAACAAATCGAAACTGGCACAGATGTGCTATGAACTTGGCGTGAGCCATCATAAAGCCAAGGTTAGGGTACTACAATGCTGATTTGAAACTGCATACTATGAAACATATCGCTTCAGGAGAGAACGATATGAACGATATGGACGATATAGTATTTGAGTTCAGTATTGCTTTCCGACTGGAAGCCATTTCCAATGTCTTGAGAACTTCAGTGGTTGAGATGTAGAGCATCGTCGTGAATCAGGACTGGCGGATCTAACTTCCCTGGGGTGCATTTGCTTGAATGGCAGCAATACTCCTATTCAAAAGGAGCCCTGGATAAGGCAGCTGAGTATTGTGCAAAGACGACCAAGGACGGCACTGGAATAGAGCCACTCTACATGCTAATCACGAAGCAGCAAGCTTTCACCATGTATGATGGTAATGAAGTGGAAGCGGCCAAAGCAACATTCGAGGCTCTCAAGGCCCTTCAAAAGAAGGAGTACGGAGACGATAGTGTTATTGTCGCTGAGGTGAAAGTCTTCACACATCACTCAATTTCAGGGTTCGAAACATTATCTGTACTCCGTGTGCTAATGTCTACACTTCGGATTGCAGACTCTGAAGTATTTAGGTGATGTACACGTTGCACTCAAGAATAAGCCACAGGCTTCCACGTACTATAAACATGCTTTGCGCATCTTGAGGAAGCGACTAGGAAATATTGATCAAACTGTGAGACAACTTGAGCAGTACATTAGACAGCTCAATCTATGAGTAGTCTGGAATTAGCCCAACGGTCCACACTCTTCAATTATCAAGTGCTCTACGCAAGCCACACTGAAATGAAAAGCATTGCAATGAATGTATTGAGTATGAAACCAATTGAATTACAAGTCAATTTAAACCCCTACACCCTAACACGAAACTCTTCATTAAAGAGTATGATACAATCAACTAAAATGAGTGGATGAAGGTTGATTGTGAGTACCAACACAGCCCAACCCTCTAGAAGCACACAATTGTTATAAGAGAATTAATATTCTTCCTCCCCCACCCATCTCATGACCGCGACTTTGACTTCGAATGCGTTTTAATCTTTTTCGGCTGAATCGGCTCCCGGGAAACAATTTTGTATTTAGAACGCCCTTTCTTAGACTCCTGCTGCTGCAAACAAAAATCAGCCAAGACATCAGGTAAGATCAAGGAAAAAGAGACATATTTGCCATCGTGCAAATTTTTCCTTCTATCAACATTTCGAAAACATAAAACTTAGTGACCACAACAGAATTGTGTTTCGTGTTAGACGTCAGCAATTTTACTTAGATAGCAGATTGCGAAACATAGGACTACATTTCAAAATATAGTGCCCTACGTACAAAATGTTTCAAAATTTTGCGTATGCTGGATTACCTCATCCCAGGCGGCAGTGTGTTCCTCGCAGAAAGAGATGACAATGGCGCCATTTCGACCATTCCGAAACTCCATCGCAAGATCTTTTTTCAAAGCACAAGAAACATGGAAGCTTGACCTGCATCCGATCTCTGTGCAATCCACACATGCACCTCCAGTTGATTTACACACGCAACACTTGGTAAGAAAGCGTCTGCTGGGGACATGAGATGTATCAATTTGCTCCATGTCATCCGGTTTGCGGTAGAACACCTGCAAGTTGAAAACGAACTATTTGTCAGAAAGGAGACAAACATACAGTAATCATCTTGAGCCTTAGTACATATTAATCTTACTGGCACAGAAGTCTAAAGTCGTCTGTGTTACTAGTAAGAAACAGACAAATGATGGCTTTCACTTTTTTAGTCACATGAACTGGCCAGATCTTTCAATGCAAACAGAAGCCAGGACACCACTGAGTTGACATACCTCAGGTACGAAAACAGCGCAAGAAATATGAGCCCAATTTCCATCAGTCGTCATTTTCATTGCACCGCCAGATCTAGGGCACAGGCAGCAGCTTCGAGACTCGGAGCTTCTGCTTTGACATTGAGCACAGAACCAATCTCCTTCTGGAATTCCATGATGCAAGGGATTACCATAGCAGTCAGCGTGCACTGCAACATCACAACCATCACAATAAACGATGGGATCCGATGGGGTCGCATCTGCGCTGCAACATACATCACAAGCGCCTTCCTCATCAACTTCTTCTACGTTGGTGGTCTCAATTACGGTTGTCTCTGTCCATCGACCAGGTGCTTTCACACGTTGAGTCATCCCACTTCGTATTCCGAAACTGAAATCGGGAATTTCCATCTCCGAATCCCAGCCACTATCTTCTTTAGATGATTTGCAATCTGCTTCATGAAACAGTTCCTGTATCAAGACACCCCCGTTTTTTGAAACGGCAGAAGGTGTACTGTCAGGTTGTTGACCCTCCGAGCACAGAATACGATCATCACGTTGAGAAACTCTACAGGGGCTATCTGCCGTTGGGAGGGAAGTGCTTGGAGCTTCTACGACGTTGACAGCCGGCCTTTGGAATTGTATTTGATGGCCCTCCTGAGAGCATCTCACATCACCCTTTTGACCATCAAGCTCAGAAGTCGATGCTTGCCCTAAATCCTGAAAGTTAGAGGTAGTTGATTTTCCACTGTCGACATTCACCCTATTAGAACTGCTCATTTCACCAGCGTCAAAAAAAATCTGAGACGAAGCGTTGGTTCTGCCAGGCTCAACGCAACATCCACCGTTTTCCTCTCTCTTGAACATTCGCTTGAAAAGCTGTTCTGCCTGCTCATCCAAGTCGGCGAGTAATGTGCATTTTATAGCAATAGGATTCTGCGGTGCGTCGGTCTTTTGCGTATTATCATCCTCAATCACCACAAGTGCGCCACTCAAAGACGCTGTGGCCTGTTGTTCCCGGTCTTCTTGAGTATTCAAGTCACAGAGACTGTGCAATGCGTCGGCAATCTCAGGGACAGTGACCTCATCCTGCTGCTTTTTTGCGCAAAGCATATCACCTTTATCACACCCACTCAAAAGGCTCGTATCCTCCGTGTGGCTATCAAAGACTGTCGCATTCCCCAATAAATTTGGATTGCTTGATGTCTCATCAGAGGTGTGGTTTTCAACCAGCGCCACTATGGAAGAACCGGCAGTGCAGGATCTCACGAGCTGAGAGGAACAGGTACTTAGCTCTTGGATTGTGCCCTTCTGTGCACAAGCAGTGGGCTCTTCCTTCACAACTCTTCCTTCTCTAGCTGCCGTGTCTGGTTCCTCCACTTTGCATTTCTCAACTACAAGTTCATCCGAATTAACGGGAACTTCCTGAGTTGGACCGTGCATTCCGGTTTGAAACTTGTTTTCATCTCTCTTCGCTGTATCTGAACATACGTGGCTCTTCGAATCATCATTCCTTTGCTTACCATCGACATGTGTCACTTGGATTTCTGTCTTGACGTTCATAGAGGAAAATTGAGGAACATTAGCTGCATTAGAGAAGTCAAACGGCACAGATAGGCCAGCAGTTACATCGACAGCTTCGGCTGAAACTCCAGTGTTTAATTTTGTTTCAATCTTTTCCGTGTCTTGGATCACGGAAACAGATGAAACCGTGGCAGTCATCGTCTCGACATTACTTGAGACCTCAACAGCCCGAGATGCTTCCCGCATGTCGTCACCCAAGGGTTGATCCTCCGGGACAGTATTGGTAAATTGAAATGCATCGTCGATATCAACGATCACTGTGTTGAGATCCAATAACGCCATGGGAGAAGATGCTCCCGTTACTACCGGGTCCACAGCCTTCTCCGATGCACCCTCTTCGGAGATACATATGTCGAGACTCGACGCAAGAGCCTCACATACCGTCATTTCCACATCTTCTTGTGCTTTGTTAGTGGAGCAGGTGGTACCTTTCGCCAAAACCCAGGGCGTCGGAGTCTCCGCACGGGAAACAAGAGAAGCTTTAGACGATACCACTGGTGGATGACGTTTTGATCTGTGCTTAGAGTCTCTAGAAGTGTCCCTGTGGACTTGATTAGAACTTGAATGCGCCACATTACTAGGATGATTGGCATTCAAAATGCTCGTGGTCTCAGATAAAGCTACCTTAGGAGGACCGCTCCAGCTCTTAAATGCACTGGAAGAGGGAGACTTCAGCTTCAAGTTCGGTGGCGCATGTCCTCCGGCAATAGGCACCAACACCGACGGAGGATCTTTCCGTTTGACAGCAACAGGGCGTGGCGGCAGCGGAAGCAACGTTTGCACGAAACTTTCTTGTAATTTCTGTTGCTGGGATTTGTATTTCTGCTTCTCCAACACTAAGAATCCTTGTGATGTCAACTTCTTTGGAGATATACGCTGCTGCACTACATTTGTAATATCATTACAAGAAGAATCAAACCCTTGCGATTCTACTTCCAACTCCTTGCGCTGCTGCTCTAGTACTTTGAATCTTTTACGCGGAGGTAAGCCTAACAAGTTGCCTCCTTCTCTTTTAACCCCATCATCCATTTCGCCTCGTCGACTTCGTTCCTTCACTTAAAAAGAATAAAAAACAAAGAATGGCTAGTTCGTCTGCATTCACCAAGGAAGGAATCTGGAGTATTCTAAAGATCCCGCGCGAAAGGGTATGGCAAGACTTGGGACTTCATACAGACCAAGCGCTGTCATGTAATTGATATGCAGGTGACACAAAAAAATTCCAGCACATGTTCCTCCTTCGCATCTACCCTGTAAAAGCAACAACAATGTAAGAAACAGCGCGCAGGAATGGTATCTCAGGACTTCAAATCGGTACGTTTCAAATAACTCAATAAAAGTGATGTTTGAAATAGGAAACGGGAAGCCCAAGGAACAATACTTGAATAATTCAACACGAAATGAAACTCCAAGATTTGACATGGGCAGGACTAGAATGCGTTAAGATGTATCAATTCACGTTACGGGACTACTTAATAAATCAAGCAGGCAACTGACTATCGCTTATCCAACCAATCACGCGCCCTTCACTCTTAATCGATATGCAACACTACAAAACCAAGGGCATCAGCTCTTTCTTCACTGGCAAACTTAAACGAAATTTATGTGTAAGTTTCACCGGTCCCCGGCTCAGAAACAAACCCTTCCATACACTACTCGTCCTATGATAATGTAACTCTCATTCCCATACTACAAGACCAATGTGCTAGCTGATATACTCGACGCTCAGACTTCGAAAAAAACCCTGAAACAATGTGGGAGACGCAAAGGCTGCCCCTCACCAATCAAAAAGCCTTGACAGAACAACCACAAGTCCCAAACACGAACTCTCGACCACTCCTGTCGAGAACATTCAGCCGACACATTAAGGCCGGCACATCTCACCGTCTTCTACGCCTGACCTTCCTCAACAATGCCTATACTTCCAAACTAAGCACACAACATACCGCCAGAAACGCGATCTAGAAAACCACACATTAATCTATCACGCAACGACTCCCATCTCACCTGAATCTAACTCACGCTCGCAGAATCCCTCAAATTTTCCTTTGGATTGTAAGCATAATACAGCCTAAAGGGCAACAACAGCCGTTAACACCAAAACGCTACGAAAACGTCCCTTGCACGACAAAATCACTTACTCGGATGCGAACGAGTACAAGCGAAACAGGACTGCACTTGGTCGAATTCCAACCAGCCTCCGGCAAAGCTCTCGTCGGACACAATCTGGATACACAGGAGAGGAGGAGGCGGTGCGAGGAGGGCCTTGAGCGGGAGCGGGGCAGGGGCAGGGCGGGAAGGTGGCGGGAATGGGGAAAAAAGAGGGAAATTCATATTTCCTTGAATAAATCTCCGTTCCCGGGCCTTCAAATGTACAATTCGGTCTTGACTGTAGCATTGTATCTACGAAATGGTGTTGACGTGGAGACTTCCATTGCGCGTCGCCGTAGCGATTGTGAATCTAGGGTTTCGGCGAGAGTTGGTGAGATCTGATCCGTCCACTGAATCGCCGGTGATGGGGCTCGGAACTACGCAACGGCAGAGTGGTAGAATAACGTAGAAACTGCCGTTGCAAGTGAGGAGTCCTTCTCTTTCCACGAAACTGCGGTGACCCTTCCCTGTTTCTTTCCTTGCCACACCACAGATTTACATTAAATGGTATGCCCTATCCAATCTTCATCTGGTTTCAAAATTCATGAAATAAAAAATAAAAAATACATTCATAGTATATATGAATTCACTGTTTTAATAACATTTTACGTTATAAACTTTGTGGTTTAGCTTCATTTTCGTAGAAAATTCCTCCATTTTTTATTCATCTTTTATGATATCCAATTTATCATTGTTCTATATTCTTAATTATATATATATATATATACGTATATATTGTGAAATTTTTCTTTAGACAGCTTCTATTGATAAAAAGAACAGGGATTTTAATACTAGAATTTGCATAGGTCCGTCATGGTCTTGTTCAGTATGTTCTGACAGATGAGTAGCAGCCTTGTGAATATGCTAACTTGAACGTCATTTGAACATATATTACAGAAACGAGCTGATCACCTTGCAACAGACCTGGATAAGTTAAAGATAGCACTTTGTGATCGTTGTGAACGTCTTGGTGTGAAAGCTAAAGAGAGCATTCCAATGCAGATGCCTTTTGGTAAGTGCCCAAATGTTGTGGATTCGTGCACTGTGTATGCTTCTTATCTCTATCTGGCATGAAGTATTCTTTTCACTGACCAAGGCAAAAAAGGTACCCTTTTATATGTTACATCCGTGGGCTGTTATTTAGGCTGGACCCTAAACCTTCAAGAGAAAGCTGCTGAGTGGAGCGACTGGGGTGAACTGGAGGATCCAGGTTGGTCTGCTCTTATAAATATGGGATGAAGCTCATTTGTGTGAGTATGTTTTTATTTTTATTTTTATTTTTTTAATTAATTTTTATCTTGCTTGTTTTTTCATGGCCTTCGTGTGTTTCAGGAAAGCAAGAGCTGGGTTGTTAGGTGTCCAAGCTCGAAAAGTAACCACATAGAACAAGACTTAGCAGATGTCCATTGAAATCACTGTAATTGGGCAATCGATATTTCTTTTTCTGCCTTGCATTTGAATGGACTAATAAGTAAATTCCCGGCAGAGTTTTCTGTTTGCAAAAATTGACAGATGAGGTACCTTTTGTAAAGAAGCCAAGCGTTGCTGCCAGTTGGGGTAAAGAGCCAGAGAAATTAGTTGAGAATGTCTATTCTCATGACCCTAACAACAATAACAGTGCAGGAAGGAAACTGCACTGCCACCTGAATCAGCCAAAGATGTGCTCTCTAAACATCGTAGTGAACCTCCAGCAAGGAAGGTAATGAGCTTCAGCGACGAAGTCTTGTTATTTAAGCCTTCCTCCGACTCATAAATTCGTGAAAACCGTCCAACTTTTTTGGTCTCAACAATCAATCCTTCTGGAAGGTATGAAATCCTTCGCAAAATGCTATCAAGTCAAAGCAAGAGATAGACTTTGAGCCGACTGGATGATCCAAATGGGGAGTGAGCTTAACCACTTATAAATCAACCAGAATCTCAATCACTTTCTGAATATTTAAAACAGTATGTCTTTGTGATCACTTGCTCTGCTAGTGTTGGAGATGAAATTTTCTTTCAAGTATGGCATATCAATATATTCGATTCTGATTAGATTATAAAAATTTCATTCTATCATGACTCCATCCACTTTAAAACACGGTGGTCTTATGTGAATAACCCTGCAAGTGCAGAAGTGCAAATCTAACAGAAGCACAGGAGTTTGAATCAAGTGTATTCAATGGTTCTCCAGCATCCAGCACTCCCACAAGCAAGTTTGTGTGCTATTCGGCTAAAATTTCCCCTCAAATATTGTCTTACCTGTTTGAAATTGTTTTGCAGTCACACAGACCTTGTTGTGGCATTCTACGTATTTCTTATTTCATTAAGAATGTGTGCTTGTTACCTTCAGTCTGGGAACAGAGCGACGCTCTGTCGCACCAGATGCCTCTAGTGGAATTGGCTCCTCTTGGGGCTTTGCATGGAGCGATAACGAAGTATACTGTTTGTCGCTAGTTTTCTACTTCGTAAATGGAAGAGCTTACTCGTGCTGCTGCTGCTACCTAATGTGAAGAAAGAGTTCCTGTTTCTAGTGAGAGTTGCGTTACTGCTGCATCGATTTACAAACATATCTGCATGTGAGCACTAACTCATTCTGTGCATGTTTGTAGGAACCTCTGGGAGTCGCTAACCAGCGTGGTTCAATACGATTCAGTGGCTCTAGTAGTTCCGTGGTACCAGAGGATGATTCCTTTGACATGGACTCACCACGCGCATGTGTCGGCAGAGGACTCTCTCACTACTCTCTGCCGACAGACTGGATCTAGATTCTGAGTGACAGGACTTTTCAGTGCAAAACAAGCGCATGCTTCTGACGATAGGCAAGGTTTTTGTTGTTGTTTTTGAGGATGATTGCTTCATGTTTTGTGTGCTACTCTGGCACACATGGCTTGTCTCACCACCTTGCAGAGCCCATGCAGTGGGTCTCCTTACTGTGGTTTACATACAGATGCATTTGATGTAGGTCTTTAGTGTAGGTCTTTGATCATTCGAGTGTCAAGTCCTGGTGCAGGGTATTTGTGTGATGAATACTAATCAAGCTTACTAACTGGTACGGGTGTGCTTTGGATGCTCATACTCCTCTTCCAAATGGGTGAGCCCCTAAGAATAGATACACCGACACTGCTTAACCAATTTTTGATGAATGATGTAATTGTTTAGCTTGGCCTATGATAGCCATTGGTAGTTGATCGAAGTTCTGGTAGCAGCACTTGGGTTTTGGTAGCCTTCGATAGTTGATCCAAGTTCTGATAGCAGCTCTTGGGTTTTGGTAGCCTATGATAGTTGATCAAAGTTCTGACAGCAGCATTTGTGTTTGAACGTTGCATCCAAACCATTACAAGAAGTGAAATATGATTTTGTAGGCAAACGTGATTAGATATGTGATATTGATAGGGTAGGAACATAATTTTAGGCTCGACATAAATTCAACAGTAGCTTATCGTTGTATGGGAAGAGAATTAAAGATAAAAAAAGACTTGAACAGCAAAGGCAAGCATAAAATATATTGTTAAGAGGTGAGATATTAAACGATTATCTAGAATTACACATGTAATTCATTCAAAGCAAAAAAATGGAAAAATATCAAAGATCTAAGGTGGTAGATCTCAAACCATCTTAAATTTTTATCAATATTTTAATTTGAAATTTATTAAAATGTTATTTTTTTTAGAGAATCTTATTATGTTTATTATGATTCTAACAATGAAACCTTCGAGGATGTAGGAAATTTTTTCAAAATAATTTAGATGAATTTTAAAATAATTCAAAAGATTCAAAGAAATCTTAAAATGTTGTAAGGAAAAAAAAAATTAAATCATGCTTTTTAAATGACTTATCTTTTTTGAAAATTTCTTTAAGAACTATGATTTAAATGAATATCTATGAAAATATCAAAATGTTGTTGTATATTTTGATATTTCATTCTTTTTGCATATAATTAACTTATCTTCTAAACCATTGACAACAAATTGGATTAATGTATAAAGTCTTATTTTTTTTATATTCCATGCAAGTAAATTTATTTTGCATGGAATATAAAAAAGTTGCACTATCTTTATGAAATACATATTCCACATAGAATATTGTTGAGCTTAGATTGTTAAAGATGTAAGTTTTCTAAAATCTTTTGATAATAATATCAAATTCTCACATTCATCTATAAAAATCTTGTCATAGATATAAGGTTGTTCTACTTATTTGAGAATAATTTTAAATTCTTGCAATCACTTATATCAAATTTCATCAAAGATTTAGTGTTGTCTAATTCTTTTGGCAATAATGTCAAGTTCTTACATCTTTTTATATCAAATGTTGTTAACGATGTAAGGTTGTCTAATTTCTTTTCCAAAGATGTCAATCTAAAGTATTTTTTTACATCAAATATTATCAAAGATATAATTCATTAGGCAACAATATCAAGTTCTTGTACAACCTTATTTATATGTTGTCAAATTATAAGGTTGCTCAATTCTTTTGGCAATGATATTAAATTCTCACATCACTTTATTTATAATGTTTTTAAAGATGTCAAGTTTTCTAATCTTTTGTCAATGATTTCAATTCCTCACATCAACTTATATGAAATTTTATCAAAGATATAAGATTGCTCAATTTTTTAAGAAATAATGTCAAGTTCTTGCATCAATTCATATTAAATGTTTTGAAAGATGTAAGGTTGCTCAAATTTTTTGGCACTAATGTCAGGTTTTTATACCAACTTATATCAAATGTTGTCAAAGATGCAAGGTTATTGGACTCCTTTAGCAATGATTTCAATCTAAAATATCTTTCATTACATAACCATTACATAGAAGTTAAATTTTCTAATGTTTTTGGTAGTGCTTTTAACTTTATATATTATTTCAAATTCAAGACCTTTAATAATATTAAACTATGCATATTTTTTGATAATATTTATAAATTCAAGTAATCTTCTAAATTAACTTCCAATAATGTATTCATTAAAAATAATAAATTTAGAAATTTTTCTATGAACTTAAAATTCTTTAATTATAAATTAATTAGATTTTTTAATTTTTCCAAAGCTTCATTATTAAAGATATTAGGACATAGATTTTTTATATTAGATATAAATATAAATATAATTTTTGGCATATTTATATATAAAAAAGTGATTTTGATTTATATAATTTTTTACTAATATTATTAATATATTCTATACTT